AGGGAAAGGTGTGGTCACTGCTCTCTTTGTCTGAGTTCTGGTTTTTACACAGGAAGGGGTCCCGCTCCCCTGAAGCCTCAAGCACTAGGGCTTCTCTTGGCCCTGGAACTATGACCAGGTCCCCTGCTCCCTTGTGACCAAGCAGAAACAACGCTTCCCATCCTGGAATTGCAGCCCAGTGTATGGGCAACAGAGTTGATAATCAGTACCAGGTGCACCCAATGCCAGCAAAGGGTCCTCTGTATCTCTTTTTGACCACTCATCCAACCCCCTTATCATCTCTGGACTGAAAGCTCTCAAAGCTGTTGCTGCTGCTATGGCCACCTTCACAGCCCACCAGTGGTATTGCTGCATTGCACTCTGGGCAGGCACCAACACTGGTGTCGCAGACCTCTCCTCCAGACCTCACAAGTTGTTTTAGGCTGGGATTATATCTCACTCTTACCTTTTGTTGACTCTGCCACTCCAAAATTTGATTTGAGAAGTTATGTTAAAGTTGTTTGGAGAGGAATGTTGGAAGAATTCTGCTGGGTTACTGTCTCTAATCTGCCATCTTGGTTCTGCCTTCAGTCTTTATTTTAACATTCATTGTATCATAGTTATTAACTTCTTTTGTTCATTCTAATTTTGAGAGATTCTGTTACTTAAGGTTTTGCCACCTCTTTTTACCAAGCTGTGAATTCTTCTTCTAAGTTCTATAAAACTTTGATTTCTTTTTCCAATTCTTTCCTATAGAGATCTCATTTCATTTATAATTTTAAAGCCATTTTAAAAATTAGTCTCATTTATTTCAACACTTTTCTTTCACCCTGACTTCAAGCCTGTCTAAATGTTAGGTAATTACTCTCTTCTTCTTGGTTTGTATCTTGGGTGTCCCTGGCCTCATAACAGCCTCTATTTAAGGAGGGGGCTCAACTCAATTTTTCTTCACTTTTCCCACCAGTTATACTGCTTTTGGACTTGGGAACTTTTCATCATGCCTTGCTTCCTCGGAAAACTCATCACTGGGAAATCTCATTATCCTACAAGATACTGAGTCTGCCTGGTCCTTACTTCTCATAAGTAACATCTGCCCCCCTGATTAAAACCTCTGGCCAGAGGAGGGTGGGGCCATGGACTCCAGGGCCTCTATTGAAGGAGGAATTTAGTATGGTTTTTCTCCACTTTTCTCACCAGCTACACTTTTTTTGGACTTCTTTAGAACTCTCCCTCATACCTCAGTACTGGTACCTTCTTTTCCCCTTTCCCCCCCTTTTAACTTCCTTTTATATGTTATCTCTCCCCATTAGATTGTAAGCTTCTTGAGAACAGGGACTATCTTTATTTTTATTTGTATCTCCAGTACTTAGCATAATGCCTGGAACACAGGTGCTTAACAAATGTTTATTGACTGATTAGAACGAGTGCAGCTAGGTGGTGTAACGGATAGAGCAACGAGTCTGACATTAGGAAGATGTGTTCAAATCCAACCTCCCACCCTTCCTAGCTGTGTGACCCAGGGCAAGTTACTTAACCTTTCTGTGCCCCGGCTTCCTTGATTATAAAGTGGGAATAATAATAGCACCTACCTCATAGGGTTTGTGTAAGGATCAAATAAAATTTGTAAAATGCTTAACATACTGCATGGCCCTTAGTAGGTGCTTATAAGATGTTTCCTCCCCCCCTCCCCTTTCCTTCTCCTCTTTGAGCATTTCATTTTATCCTAGCAACTGCCCCTCTTCCCCTTCCCCTTGAGTTCGTGCTTGAGCCTCTCTTTTTCTCTAATCTAACCTTATCTATCTTTCTTCAGTTGTTCTCTCAATTTTTTCTTCACATCCTCAAAACTCAATTTTCTGCCTTTCTTCATTTACAATTCTAAAGCCTTCCAAAGTACCTTCAGAATTCCTTCTTTGTTCTTCAGCTCAATTCCTCCTCTGAAATCCAATGGCTTGCCAAAGTCTTCTCCTTCAAGCTATATATTTCCAGTTCCTTTGTATGGCATGACCTTGAGTTTCCTCAATGTCCTCATTGCTCTTATCTGGATGTCTTCCAGCATGTTCTTCCTAAAATTTGGCCCCTGAACAGAATACAATACTCTAGATGTCTGATCAGGACAGAGAACAAAACAGCCATCACTTCCCCAGTTTTTTACAAATTCAATGCATATTATTCTGCACCTCTCATATCCAAATTACTATAGGAGTTACAAAATTCTTTATCCACAAGGAACTTTTAGACCAGTATTTCAGAGGAGGACCTTAAGCCATGATAGCTGTCTACAAGTATTTGAAGAACTGTCACATGGACAAGGAAAAATATTTTGCTTGGTCCCAAGGGCAGAAGTAGAAGAAATAGGTAGAAATTGCAGGGCAGCAGATTTAGGTTCATTATAAGGAAAAACTTTCTAACAGTTAAAACTACCTAAATGTAGAAGAGGCTTCCTTGGGAAATAATGGGTTTTCTGTCGGTAGAAGTCTTCAGGCAAAGGGTAAGTGACCACTGATTGGGTGTGTATAGAGAGGATTGTTGTTCAGGTATGGGTCAGACTTGATAGCCTCAAGGATCCCTTTTTATTTCATAAGGCCATAATTCTGTGCAGGCAATAAATTGCTTCTTTTCATTTTGTCAGGTACACATTAAGTGGGGGAGCTCTCACTAATACCATACTCCTGTAGCTGGAGTCCATGTATTGCTTGGGACTATCCCCTTCATGTAGCATGGGAGTGTAATTGTGTGGCTTGAAGGGAATCAGAATAGATATCTCTAGTTTCTTTTCCCTAACTCCCTCCTTCAAGGAAGACTTTTAATTCCTGCCAGGAGGGGAAGCAGGTTAGGTTCAACAGAAGTTTGGCCACTCCACTCTGCTCATAGGGCAGGGGTACTAGGCAACAATTATAACTTCTCCCTCAAATATTGTTAGTTTAGGGGTTTTCAGATTCAAGCTAACATCTGACCACTGTTTCATTTTTGGGGGGAAGAACCCCAAGCTTTACATCCAAGGCTTGACTCCCTTCCCACCAAATACCAGTTCCACATTGGACAGAGGAAGTAGCAAAGAAATCCGTTTATCCAATTCAGTAGCAAAACAGAAATTAGAAAAGATACACATATGAGAATATATACCAGACAATACAGAGTGAAGGAGGTCTCCCATTGGGAGTGAGGTAATTTAGCTCATCTCAATTCCTTTTCCTTTCTTGCTTTCCATATATATTTAATATGTATATCTACCATAAGTATACTTGAAAGTTTCACAGTTATTCCTTTCTTAGTCCCTGTGTTCATGCGGGCAGGTACTAAAGTCCAAGTTGGAACTGGGTTACTTAAGAGAATTATTCTAAGAGCAAAATATTGCCATTATATTTGGTAGAACATAGTCAAAACTAGAACTAGACACTTGACATTTTCCAGATGTAATTTTAGTAGCTAGCTCTATAGTCAGGCATAGGAGATGTTTCCAAGTTTATACAAACTTGCACCACTTCTTTCTGTGTTAACTGCTATTTAACCATTGCAATGAAAATGTGTCTTAGAAACAAACAAGTAAAATCTCAGACAAGGCATCTGCTAGGTGCAGGTTTTATTTTTTCAGATTTATTCATAGCTCTGAAGGCAAACAAAAGTCTTTAGGCTTATCTGGACCCAAACTTCGAATTTAAGTTTCATTCATTTATCCATCTAAAATTAAGTTTTGTTTTTTTTTTTTTTTTTTAGTAGTGAGGGAAATGCAGTGATAAATAAGGTATAGTGCCTGCCCTAAAGATGCTTTTGACCTGGAAGAAGAAATTAGGCATTATACACAAGTACTGTATTACCTTTGGAATCTAGAAAACTTAAAAAAACCCAAAAACCAAAGGTATGAACAAGATGCTATAAGTGTCCAGATGGAGCAAGGAGGTCATTTCTGTCAGGGCAACTCAGAGATGGGTTAATGAAGGAAGTGGCTTTTGAGATATGTATCCAAGGATGCAAAGGATTTCTACAGCAGAGATGGGGAAGAGGGCAGGGGAGAGTGAACATTCTAGGTATAGGGAATGGTGTGAACATAAATCTTGGAGAAGGGAAAGTGTGGGGTGTTTTTAGAAAACCATTAGTTCAAGTGGGATTAGGATTTTTTTCTTTTTTTTAAATGAAGTGTGGTAGTAGAGGCTTGGAAAGTCAGTTGAAATTGTACTGTGAATTGACTACTAGGCTAAGGTGTTTGGACTTTATCCTGAAGGCAATAGAGAAGAGCCATTGGGGATTTTCAAGGAGGGGTAAATTGTGTATATAGAATGGACTGGTTTAGAGGCAATATAAGTGAGAGGTAATTGGGACCTGGCATAACAAGATAACAGAGGGAATGGTAATAATGGATGTTAATAATTCCTAACTGAACAAATGTAATGGGAAAAAAAAAAAAGTACTGCTTACAGTTGCCCTGAGCAACTCATACTAGAGTTTTGTCTTTAGGCCATATATGAAAATTAAGATAATTTGAATGAGGTTATTTAAATGTATGAACCCAGCTAGGTGGCTTGCTATGTCTGGAGTCAGAAGACGAGTTTAAATTTGGCTTTACATACTTAGTAGGTGTGTGACCAAGCAAGTTTTTGTCTGGCTCAACTTCCTCATCTGTAAAATGGAGATAACAATGGCGCCTACCTCCTAGGTTGTTGTGAAAATCAGATGAAACTTTTATAAAGTGCTTTGCAAACCTTACACCACCATATAAATGTCAGCTATTGTTATTATTATGGTTGTTAGGCCCTTGACCAGGGAGGTCAAACATGACCATGTCAGTACCACTCAGCCTTGAAGTAAAATGTTGATTGCTGTGGGTCCTTTTATGCAGAGTAGGGGCATTTTCTTAGAGGAAGATCAGAACCTTGGTAGTCTAGAAATTCTTAAATTGGTTCATTTAGCATTTTTGTTGGGTTATGAGATCTACTACTGAATTAGACAGATATTATCAACATATCTGAATGTAGGAAGAGATAATTGTTTTTGGATAATTAATGTAAAAGAAATTCTAGGTTATATTTCAGGAAAAAAGTTTGTTTATTTAGAGCCATCAACTAGGATCATAATAAATAATGTAATATACTAATGTAATAACAGATGTTCTCATGCAGTTAACACAGTTACAAATATACCAGAAAGCTGGCTTACATTGTTGTTGGGACAAATTCAGGAGAGTATTTGGCAATACAATAAAAGCGAACAGTTACAATTATAGAACAGAATCTTTCTGTTAAACTTATTTTTACATTCCTCTCATATATCTCTGAATAAATTAATACATCATCCCTTTAATTTCTGCCTTTCAACATGCCAGGCAATTAAGCCAAAGCAACAGACAACTGTCAAAAGACAGAGTTGATGATTTATGTTACATAGGAATATTTCTGAAGTGTACCATTTGATCAACATTTGTACAGACTACTTAGTTGAAAAGGGATTTTAGAAAAGAAACAACAAAAACCCAAACTTTTATGCATTTTAGTGCTGAGGCTGAGCTATGATATGATGTAAGCCAGTATTATTTAAGACATGCTCAGATGAATTAAAAATGCAAGCAGAGGTGAAGTTTTTCAATTTCTAATGTACTGTAATGTAATAATATAGTTTTCAATTTTGATATCCAGTATGCAGATGCTACATTACTGGACATTTATAATTTGTCTGTAAGGTACGGCAAATTATCCTAGCCTGCAAATAAACATATTCTATTTAAAGCTTAGAATTAATTTTTATTGTCAATGTCACAATGGCCCCAAATGATAAACTTTAACAGAAGACATTTAAAAAGAAATATAAATTAAATATATCCCAAACACTGAAAAAGTGTTTTAAAATTATTTACAATTTATCAATGATCCCAGTGTATATCTTCATTTAGCCAAAGTATAATATTTTACATCTAGTTGCCATTTTTTTCAACCCTTCTATAAGTATTTGCATGTACCATCTTCCTTATAAACACTTGGGCTTATCAGTTTAGCGAGGGAGAACGGTCTGTGGTCCAGAGCAGTTCTATATATGGCCACTTGGTTTGGAGACAGCGTTTAACTGGAGTGTCATCTGTCTGAAGCATAGGATCTTCAAAGCCCATAACGACTGCTGTACCTTCAACATACATGACCTGTTAAACAAAGATGACACCTACAAGTTTAGCCTACATGTTCAGAATAACTCCATGAGGGATCTAGGCAATCTTTAGGAGTAGCAAGTAAACTCTTCCACTCAGGTATTAAACCTGACATCTGATTTTGTCTTAGTAGAAATTATGAGTAAAAACATCTGTTCTTAGGCTATAGACTGAGGGTGCATTTATAATCTGTTTATAGGGAAAATCTAGAACTAAAGAGGAATGCATGTACATAGAGCATTGTATGGCTGGCTGACTATTTTGGGTTTGTTCAAGTTTGACAGTTAAAATACATACATATATATACACACACACACACACACACACACACACACACACACACATAAAACCTCATAGAAAGCATGCAAAATACCACAAGAATGCCTCAAATGGAGAATTTTTCCATTTGCTTAAACCTTATTTAAATTCTGTTTATATGCTGCATGTATATGGAACCTATAGCTCCAAAATCTAGATATTTACGCAGTAACAACTGATATATTCTGAAAGGCTCTTTTTGCAACACTCCCCTCCCCAACCTTCAATGTTATGAGGTTCAATGTAAAGTTTGGGGGCTCTTGGATCTTTCTGGCACAGAAATCATGTATTGCTTTAGAAGATGCTTCCATAATTTCAATTTTGTTTTGCTTTAAGTATGAACCTATGACTTCATCAATGTGGAGAATTATAGGTGTGCAGACTTCTACTAATATTGATAAACAACCATGTGTAACTTGTGGTTTCAGAAGACTGCCCGGGACACTAAGAAATTAAGTCACAAGCTAGTTCCCACAGGGGTAGGGAATCTGTGGCCTCAAGGCTGCACTTGAGGACCTAGAGGGCCACATGTGGCCTTGAGGCCACAGGTCCCCCACTCCTGGGCTAGTATGTGTCAGTGGGAGGATGTGAAGTCCACAGAAGGCTCTCTACTATGCCATGCATCCACAAATTTTAGCCAAAAATATATCTCATTTGAATACTATATGAAAAGAAGAAAGAGTAAATAGGTGAATGTTCAAAAAAAAAAAAAAAAAAGAAACTGGAAGCAATTGAAAAAAGGATGTCAGGGAGAAAGATACGTAAGAATAGAATTATATGGAAGGAAATGGCAGTCAGAAAATATTTACAAGGGGAAACAATTCTATATATATGTATATACACATATAGATATATAATATGCATACACATGTATGTATTTCAAAGAAAGAAAGAAAGATAGATAGATGGCTTGGTAAGTAGCTTGAACCTCTTAATGTGTGTAAGACTAAATGAAAATCAAAAGAAAATATTTTAACTCAGTTATTTCATTTCTTCATTAAACAGGTTGTTATAATGCTCTATATTCTATTAAAAAATATCTGCTAATCACCAAGGACTATTAACCCAGGTACATATTTTTAAACAATATCAAGAAAATAATGTTTATGCTGCAAGAATAGATTAACTATTAATTTATACCTCTTTCCATGCAAGGTATAATATGATGATTAACATTAATGAATAAGAGACAATCACATAATAATGAAGTTCTTCCAAAAGTAAAGACTTTTTTTTTTTTTACTTTTATCAAGTAAAAAATGGTATAGGCTAATACAAAGTACCCTCAGAGCCTTACTTTTGGTACCCTCTGTATGATCAAGCCATATTACTGCAATACAAAATATTTGTATATAACACAATATATAATACAATATAATAACACATAAAATATTTATCATGGTACATACCTATAAAAGCTTAGAGAACCAAACATTTAGCTCAAAAGGGTCTTTCCAAAAGAAATACTTTAAATAAACTACAGCATTGTTCTGTATCACTTGGTTAGGGAATGAGGCACAAGTTTATTCTATCCTGGAGAGTTTGGAGGACATACTTTAAGGCAGGCCTGCACGACATATGGCCCATGGGCCACTTGCGGCCCACCAAAAGATTTCAGGTGGCCTTCGAAAAATGTAGAGGATGTTAAAGTAAAGATATAATGGGTGCTTTGTCCTTACCCTGCTTAACTAGCCTTCCACTGGTCACTATTGTGCCTGTCATGTAACTTGGTGGGGGGGCTGCCACCGCACACTCTGTCCTGTTTGTCACGTAACTCACAGCAAGCAACCATCATCAGTCTATCTCTAGTATGAGAGGAGCGAGAGTCATATCTTTTTGCTGTGTTTTCAGTGTATTAAAACTTATTACCGCTTAGTAATTCTTTTTTAACATTAATGTGATTTCATGATAAATAAAAATCTTAAGTAATAAGTGTAATTAATTGATATTAATTGAAATTTCCCTTTTTAAAAATAGTTTATTTGCAAAATGGTTTAATCATTAATTACACCTTTACTTGGAAAGTGAGCTGCTAAAAACCTATCTGCAGCCTGAAGAAGTTTAGCCTATTTTAATTTTTGCTCCTACCCACTACCAAGTTGTGGAGGTCTGCTATAAGGTGAGATTTATATGAATTTTTATTTTAACTAAAGCAGTTGTGTTCTTCTGTTTGTTTTCTTAAAAATTTCCATTTTTTGCTTTTAAATTCCCAAATTAAACATTCTTATGAAGAACCATACACAAAGAATGTTGTCCAAGTTTTTTATATTTAAGAAAGAATCTCATAGAACTTTTCCACAAAGTTTAAAGTTCTTTTTCAGTTTTAAAGTTCAGTTCAAAACTCCTTTGTTCACTTACTACTATCTACTGTAAGTTCTTACTCTCAAACTGTTCAATCTCCCTCTCATTTTGTTAGTTCTTTCCTTCAGCCTGTTCACAGATTATATCTCCATGATTTAACAGCATAGATATTTAGGGAACAATTTCTATGAGCTTTCCATTCTAAAATAGGTCAAGTCAATACTTGTTGCCTGTTGTGATTTCTCTAGACGTTTGTCATAGGCATAGCTAACATGACTTACTGGAGAGAGGCTGTGTTGGTGAGCACACCAAGGACAGGCTGGGGTCCAGGACTCAGTGTTAGTCCTTGCTCTACCAAAGACTTGCTATATAAACACCAGAGGGGAGGCAGAGGGGAGAGTCACTTAATGTCCCTGTCTCTCAGTTGCCTCTTCTGTAAACCAGGGACAGTATGACCAACCTCCCTTGCAGGGGTATCTAATTAGTAACTATACAGCACTTTATGTGCCAAAGTACTAGGCAAACCTTAAAACTCTGAATGAAGCACTTATGAACAGATTATAAATAGCATCTAAGCTTTCCTATTGTAGATCTATACGATATTGAAATAAAATATTCTCACAAAATGAAAGAAACTCAAGTTACCTAAGTCCCTGAGTATAAGTGAATACAATCTCTTGCTTACTATTCCCTTCACTTGTTTATGAAGGGTGATGAAAAGACCCAAAAAGGAAGCTGTGGCCTGAAGGATGTCTGTGAGAGACAAAGAGGTGGGCTGGTCATGGAGTAAGAGGGATAAAGATGTACAGCCTGAAGGCTTTAGTGATACCCAAGAAATATTAAAAGAACCAAAGGAAGTCACTGGGTAGATGTTTTCTGGACAATTTATGGAAAGACATGGACAAGAATTACATCAGATGAGAAGGCATGGAGGGTTTATGATTTGTCCTGGAGGAGGGAGAGCTCACATGGATGATATAGGAACACAGACTGATTATGAAACTAAAGTATAATTTGTTTTTAGTTTTAAGTATAGTTGGTTTTTTTTTTCCCATTTCACCAAAAAGAGTCAATCAAAACACAACTTTCCAACTCAATGCAATCAGGTCAGTTTTTGTGTAGTACAAGTTCCCTTTCCTGAATTAAAAAAACAAAATGCCATTGGCAATAATGTGCTACTTGTAATCTTTAAACTGCATCGGTTTTCTCCTTTCAAACCATCTTTTTCATCTATATTAATCAAAACTTCCATCTCATGTGACTAACTGTAATGCTGACTCAATAGCATATGTACATCGAAGATACTAACACACACCTAAATAAAGCCTATTTTGTGACAGCGAATCATAATGCTCCAAAATGTGATACCTATTTATGTGCACTGTTCATACTAGAACATGTCATCTACAAAGGATGATGTAGATAGCAATAAAAGGAAAATAAAGAGAATTTTGTGATCATGTCCTAATGTACAGCTCTTATAATAGTTATATCCTCAAATATTTCTACCACAGACCCAATTAAAAACAAATAATTTATTTAAATAATCATACCTTTTCATTATAATTAGACTGCTTTAATCCATTGTAGTGGTATACGGTAAATGACTCTGGCACACTGGAATCCTACGACAAGTAAAGTTATCATTACATATTTAAATCACAAATCAAATTGTTTCTAATTTGTAACTGAAGCTTTAAATGTCAAGCCTTGAAAAGGCTCACAAGAGATATATCTAGAAAAATGCACCCAAGCATTTTATTCACTTCTAAATAACTTGTTTTCAGAAATCCTGGCTTGTCTGCAGCTGTGTGTTCGTCCCACGGCATAGACTTTGGACTTTCTCCACACAATGTCCCTTGAAGGCTGTCAGCTCTTGAGTAGCAGTTACAATGAAAAAGAAACAGTGTCACAGAAAATGACAGAATTTTAGAGCTTTAAGGAAATTTACTTCAAATGTTATTCTATACGAAACGGCCATCTGGAACGTGACTTCCAAGCCAACCCTAATGTCCCTGCAAAAACCTGTGATTAATCCCTGCTGCCTAAAGGGCAAAGACCAAACTCCTTTACCTGGCACGGGAGGCTTTCTGCACTCTGACCCCCACCTACCTCTCTAGCCTTTATTTCAATGACTAATTTTCACAAACACTCTGCTCCAGCCCAGTTTTTACTAGTTCATTTACTCTCCCACAAAAATGTTTTCACCTTGAGGCACAATTTTCATAATTGCTAAAACCAGACTATCAATTGGAATGTTCATCCCTTTCCTCTTAGGGTTACAAACACTGTCTTTCCTTTGAGACCCAGGTCACATCCCATGTCCTCAAAGAAATGTCCCTGATTATTGGGAAGGGATTTCTTTCTCCTTTCAACTACCACGGCAACTGTCTGAAGCATTCACTGGGAGCTTATTCACTTCTTGCCTTGTCATGTGTCTGCCTCAGACAGGAATTATGACCTCCTGTTGGGGGCAAACACTATCCTAACTGCTTGGTATTCCCTGCTGTGCCTTGCACAGGTGGTGCTCAAATAGGTTTAGAAAATTTTTTTTATATATATATAGCTTGTGTGTTAATGACATTTTAATAGAAAAATTTATAGGGGCTATGCCACACAAACGAAGTGATCTAATATATATTATGTGACAGGGTTAATAACCTTAAATGCACCTAAACACACACTTACCCCCACCTTACACCCACTCCTAAATACAATTCTACACACGCCCACACCACCCCTAACACTTTTTTGGGAGCAGAGTACAGTTTAATGAAATTAAATAGGAAGATATCCTACTTCTAACAAAGGTTGGAAATTACCTCAAACTTTTTTAAAAATAAAAGTTCTTTTATGGATCTTTCCATTAGGATAACACACAAAATTAAATATTATAAGGATGGGAATATATTTTTTGTTTATTTAAGATGTTATGTCATCGAGAAACATACTTGTGACATTTATTGAAAGCATGTCAGAAGTGTAAAAATCAGATTATTATTTCAACTACAGAAAATAAAGAAGATAAAGTCTATAATGTTAAATACTTATTAAGAAACTTAACACTTAAAGTATCTATATTTTAAGATACTGGAATTCATTGGAAAATATTTTTGCAATCTTCCCTACATTAAGTAACTGCAAAAGATTTTTTCAACCAATAGCTTAGGATTTGAAAACCCATTATAAACACAAAAACAACCAAAAAAACCCCTTCATTCTTTTTCTTCCCAAATTTCCACGGCAGTTGCAGGTTTAGAAAGTGTGTGCTCTAGTCATTTAAAAAAATGATCAAAATTTTATGTTCATAATGCTGTTTACCATTTTAGGAATACAAGTATTATGATTCAGAGCAGCTGTTCAAATCTGACACAGAGGATTAACAATTTAAATTCTTTTAAACTCCTCTAAATTGCAATTAAGTCTTTAACATTTTTTTCCTTCTCTTCTGAGTTATTTTCCACTTGGCAGCTATCTCCTTTTTGTAATAGTGATGAAAATGATATGGGTAATTTTGTAAAAAGCACTTAACTTTAACTTACAATTGTGTTATTTGAGGAATAAAGGACCAAAGTATATTCAGGTAACTGAGTAACTCAGTTAAGTGACAAAACCTTACATTAGAGAAGAGACAAGGAACGATCTATAGAGGAGTAGAGTTAACTTGCCCAGTATTCAATCCCAGAATTCAGTGCCTCATAGGAGACTGAGAAGGGAAGGTAGAAGGTGGTATGCAGCAGAGTGATAACAGCCAACATATCCCCAAGTTGATGATCTTTCCCTAGGTATTTTTTTTTCCTTCTTCAAGAAGAAAGAGATTATCCTCAAGACTGAGGGTCCTTGGGAGGAATTCCTACTACCTGCTCTCTCGGCTTTCTTTCTAGCAAAAAAGTGTTATAGTTTCTAAAAATTCCAGGTCATGGGACCTGGCACAAGGAAGCTCGCTGCCACACAATCCTGGTGACAAACCCAAGCCTCAGATCGAGGAGAACTCACTTGTATACTATTTTATGCAGTGACTGAACATGCTACAATATATTTTTAGTATACAATTATGAACTATGTTATTTTTATCACAAAATAAGCAAGAACAGTATAAAATAGTAATTTCTTTCTCAAAACTAGTGAACATACACAGATATTCAGAACTCAGGACAATCTTTCCTACATACACAAACATACATTCTTACTACGAGAATCTTTAACAGAACAAAGCTTTCTTGACCTAACTAAATCTGTAAGTAGCAGGATAATTTTAAAAGTGTAGGAAAATTACCAGCATGATCTCTGAGGATCTCAACCATATTAGGAATCAATTAACAAAATTCCTTATGTTACCTGATCAGGAAAGAACTCCTGGAGAAAGGGACCCAGTAAGATAATTCCTAGTCCTTCTGGGTCTAATTTGTTCTTCATGAGGTTGACACTATAATAATAACAGAAAATACAAAAACAATAAGTACACTGGTACATTTTTATTCTTACATGATTAAAATATGTGGCATTACAACACATCTCACTGCCAAAAATTCTGAGAGCTGTTCTTTTTAGAACCTTAATGACAAATACATAGGAATGGCACTTGATTTGCCAAAATGTGGTTATTTTTAAATCAGAGTAATCTGTTACTATTTACAATTTAAATTGTGAAGATAATTTTGAAGGTTCATTCCTTATTAGGTAAAGTCATTTTAAAATTGAGGGTTTATAAGCCTAGACCCATGGCACTGCCCCTTGCCAGGAGGAATTTCTTTCTTTTGTCTGTTTTTAAAGAAAAATTTTTTATAGAGGTATATTTCACTGTAAGAGTACAAATCATTCATCTACCCCCCCCCCCACCCCCCACCTTTCCTGGCAGAGTGGAAAGTACATTAGATCAGAAGTCTGAGATCTTGTTCTTGGCTGTGCTGGTATCTAACTGTGTAATCTTGAGCAAGTCAGTTTCTCTAGGCCATAATTCTTTATCTGTGAAATAAAGGCTTGTACTTGATCAATAAAGTTCCTTCTGCCTTGATCATGCTATACCATATAGGTATAAGAATGACAGTGTTGTATAGTAGAAAGAATGTTGGACTAAGAATCAGAGACAGCTGAGATCAAATCTCAGCTCCAACACTCACTAGATGTGTGATGACAGGCTTTTCTGCGACTATTGTTCATCTATAAACAGGGGGACATAGTATTTATACAAACTACTTCACAAGTCTTTTGTGAAGAAATTTAACCTTAGTGTGGTATGTAAAAGTGAGTTCTTCATAAAAAGAAGTGAACTTTACCACATGCTACAGAAAATATAATTCTCATAAGCAAGTGCAGTAGAAAATCTTAACCTATAACACTGTGGTATGGAAAAAGGGAATTACTCAGTTCAGAAACAGAAATATGATATGATTTAAGGTCTGATATTAGGCTAGAAGTTGAAGACCTCAAAGACAAACCACATTGCATTTTGCCCTACTATTACAATTTTATTGTAAGTCTTATCTACTGAGGAGGAAAAACACTGTAAACCATTGTTAAGGAGGAGTGAAGAAGGAAAGAAACTGGGGTGACAGGTAAAGGATGAGATTTTTCAAACCTGAAGTTTTTGTGTTGAAAGCCAGTAATTTAGGGTCCTTTGAAATACCAAAATATAAAAATGTTATTCTAGTTTGGTTTTTAATCCTCTTCTGTGTCCTTCAAAGTGTATATGTGTGTACAGACACATACACACACATATACTTACTTACATGCAGAATTAAGGGTATCAGACTATCTACTATCTAACTTAAAAAGTAAAGAATTTGTATCTCATATTCCATCTAATGAGTCTGAGATGATCAGGTCAGTAGGTTTGAACTGGAGGCTTAAAAGGTCTGACTCATGGTTTCAGGCCTATTTAAAAATGATAACTCTACAGAGGGGAACAAATCATTCTACCACCACAGACTGGACCTCAGTCATTTTACAAATACATAACACCAGTCACCAGAGTGGGTATGAGGACCTTTTAACTACAACTACAACTAACTACAACTAGAAAACAGTTTAGATAGGTCACTGTTGTCTTCTTCATACAGCAAGGATACCACCAAATATTATAATAACATGTGGGAAATGTGGGTTAATGTTAAAATTAACTTATACATGGGAGAGGTGGTGAATGGGGAAGGCAAGAAAGAAAGCAACAATTGCAAAAGAAGAAGAGATCCAATTTTCTCCTCCAAATTGATGGGCTTCAATAAGGCAGTCTTATACTTGGAACTGGTTCAATCTTCACTGAAAGGAAGCCTGGTAAACCACCATCATACCATTTGCTACAATAGTTAAGATTCCTTCAGACATCTCCTTTATGTTATAAACCTGTCCACCTATGCTTAACTATTGAATATGTCTAAATCATAGTTCAAGGTGATAAGATTCTGAGATATTAATTTAGACTTGATTAGTTTATGAGTGTTTATATGTAGCTGCATACTTTCAAAGAGACCACATCTGAAATTCATCTAAAAAACATGAACAGGACTGTGAATACCAATAGTGTTTATGTTGCTTATGCTGTGAAATCCCTTGTTACATTACTTTACATGTTAAAGTTTGTTTTTTTATTGTCAGATGAAAAATGTACAGAACCTAAAAGCATTAGAACTTGACATTCATGTTATTGTTCAGAAGAAACTGGTCAAACTTCCAGATTTAGTTTCATATTTGATCAACTTATATTCCACTTAGTATAATAAAAATGCAAATTATCCCCAAGGAGAAACAAAATCAAGAGGAGGCTATTATATATGTGAAAAGTGCCTCTGCATAATACCAAGGTTATGAGGACAAGAAAAAAATGAAACCTGAATGAAAGACTGGATTCTTTATGTACTGACACTCAAAAGTATTTAGTCTAGATCATTGAGTCATCTGGAAGTGTTCAATCTCTGACTGTCTTTAACACATAAGGCTGAAGGTCAAAGGGCTGCTGACTAATGACAGAAAACATTATCTTTTATCAGTATCTATAATATAGAAAACTGTTATAAATGTCTTCAAAGCTGCCCAAACCAGGTTCAAAATGAAAAAATAGAAAAATAATAGGAGATTCAAAAATTAAGTTCTGGTAGCTAACAGAAAAATACTTGAAAATTAAAAAAAACCCCAAAACCAAATATACCATAACCCAACTTTTTAACACCATTCTTTTAAATGCCCAATAAAAGAGATCGAGTATAGATAGAAAGTTAATTTTTGGTTAAGTACAGTCTCAAAATTTTTCTTCCTTTTTAATCCACCCATCTACTCAGACTGATCATTCCTTTAATTAGAATACAATTCACTATGACATTTGTGTATATGTACATAAGTATATACATAAATAAAATAATTAATGATGGTATGGTAAATTTTGATTTTAGTGGAAATTTTATTTATGGTCAAATAAAAGCTTTAATTTTCTATTATCTTACTATTCAGGATCTGATACAAGGTCCAAAGCTTTCATCACATCTTCTAGAAGTGTATCAGGTATAAATCCATTATCTGCAAAAATAACAGAAAATTAGAAATTATTGCAGAAAGTCTCAACATCATCTTTGCAAATGTAGTCTTCAAAAATCATTGCAGCCGCATAAATTCTCATAAAAATCAAATAACAGGGGAAAATAAAGTGAAACACATTAAATTTAGTTTAGGTTCCTTGCCATATTCTCATTTGGACTTCTATTTCCCTTAGCTTGGGCTTTTCATGGCTCATGATTAACATTACAAACAAACAAACAAACAAGTTTAATAACTTCAGTTTTAGAACTCTATCATGAAACTCTAAAATGAAGTAATCTTCCCTAGAAGCCTTTCCTATAAATGTTTTTTAAAAGGGCATAGTTTAAACTGACATTTAAACTTAAAATTATATGGACACAACATTCAGCATTAAACATATCTTTTATTTTTTTAATATTTTGTTTTCATCATCTAAGATCTATTTTTTCACCCTCTCATCTCACTGCACTTTCCTCAACCCTAATTGAGAACACAAGAAAAACAAAACCTATTACAAACATGTATGGTTAGCTTAAAATTAAAAAAAAAAAATCCACATTGGCCACATAAAAAAAAAATTTGTCTCATTCTGCATTCAGTCTTCCAACTTTTTGTCATGAGGTGGGTAGTATGTTTCATCATTAGTCCTCTGGTACAGTGATCAGTCATTGTGCTGGCAAGAACTTAGCACAATAGTACCACCACAGTTATATACCATAACTTGTTCATCCATGGATTCAGGCCTATTTAAAAATGATAACTCTACAGAGGGGAACAAATCATTCTACCACCACAGACTGGACCTCAGTCATTTTACAAATACCTAACACCAGTCACCAGAGTAGGTATGAGGACCTTTTAACTACAACTACAATTTATGGGCATCCCCTCATATTCCCATCCTTTGCAACACTCAAAAATGAGATAAATATTGATGTACACCCTTAGAGTTTGTTCTGCTTAGGACTAATCCCCTCTTAATCTATCCTCCTTCTATTTCTCCCTCCTGTCTTTTCCTTCCATTTTCCGTATTGTGTGAAATATATTTTTGCCTACAACTATGTGTGTGTGTGTGTGTGTGAGTATTCTTCCTACTTTTACCCAGATGAGACTGAGATTCAAGTGTCAACCATTTCCCTCTACCCCCTCTCCTCCTTATTTGTACAGATATCTACTTGTACACCTTCATTATGAGAGATAATTTCCCCTAACTTTCATTTCCTTCCTTCTTTTAAATACCAGTGTATTCTTTTTGCCCTCTCTATTTTTTCCCTTAAGATCATCAAGACATAACACGACCACTCCAAGGCCTTGTCTAATTGGACTCCATCTGTGAACCCTAATGATAAAAAGGTTCAGAGGAGACACATTTTATCATCTCTGAATGTAAGCAGTTTATCCTTTATCATTGTTCATTGACATTTACCTTTTAATATTTCCCTTCATGTGTGTGTTTGAACTTCAAAGTTTCTAAGCAGCTCTGGTATTTTCACCAGAAATGCTTGGAAGTCCTCTATTTCATTAAAAATCCATCCCCCTCTTCTCCACAGCATCATATTCAGTAATCCTCTGTCTTCTAGAATATCATATTCCAAGCTCTCTGCTCCTTCAAGTAGTGGCTGCTAAAGTCTGTCTGATCCTGACTATGGCTCACTGGTGCTTGAATTCTTTCTGTTTCCTTGTAGTATTTTTCTTTGAACTGGAAACACTGGATTTTGGCTATGATATTCCCAGGAGTTTTTATTTTTGGGTTTTTCATCAGGAGGTAATTGGTGGATCCTATTTCAACTTTGCTTTCTCGTTCTAAGAGATGCGGGCAATTTTCCTTTCAGTTTTCTTAAAGTATGATGTCAAGGCTCTTTTTTAGGTCATAGTATTCAGACAGTCTCATGATTAATTTTTTTCCCCCCTCAATCTGTTTTCTAGATCATATGTTTTTGCTATGAGATACCTTATATTTTCTTCAATTTTTTTCTAGCCTGTAGATTCTGTTTTAATATTTCTGGTTGCCTCATGGAGTCATTGGCTTCTATTTGGTCCATTTCAATTTTCAGGGAAGTTTATTGTTCAGACAAAATTTTGCATCTCTTGTGCCAAGCTATTAATTCCCTTTCCAATTTTTTCTTCCATAGCTTTCATTTCTTTTTCAATTTTTTCTTCAAGCACCCTCATTCCATTATTAAAAATTTTTTTAATTCTTTTTTTTTAAACTTTTTTTTTTAAAGCTCCATCTCTCCTAGGAATTCTAGTTGAGTATGTACCCATGCTGTGTTTTTTCTCTGAGGCTTTGCTTGTAGATGTTTTGGAACCATTTTCTTCTTCGATGTCTGTGTCTTGAATGTTTTTGCCACCATAATGGTTCATTAGGGTGGGATTCTTGGGCTGGTCCTTTTGCTGCTTTCTTGGGGTACTGAGTGTTGTATTATTACAGCATCTCAAGGACAGTCTAGGGACAAGGAAGCTTCTAGTACTCCCAAAATAGTCTGATCCAGGGAAAAGTCTGATTGCTGGCCTCCGAGTCAGAGTTCCACAAGTTCCTGAGCTGAGACAGGGGTTGAACAGGAGTAGACTGTCGTTGGATTCAGTTCCTGTCGGCCAGTTTAAAAGCTCTGTTGGTGCAGAGTGGGGCTCCCCTTTGGTCTGGGAATCTTTTTTGATTATTCCTCTACAGGCTGGGCTAGATGCTTCAACTGAGGATTTCTGCTGTGCCTGAAATCTGAGTAATACTGCTTCTTCTGAGTTCGAGGCTTTCTCCTTTCTCAGTGCATTGCCCTGGGCCTCCTTACCTGGGACGCCACTTCCATGCACAGGTATGTTCAGGAGGACTAGTACCTCTAGTGTGAGGGTTTGCCTAGCTCTTTTCTGGGCTACTCATCCACCTTTGGTGTCCACCTGATTCACCCAATTCTTTTTTTTTTTTTAAGGCAATTGGGATTAAGTGACTTACCCAGGGCCACACAGCTAGTAAGTGTCAAGTGTTCGGTCTGAGGCTAGATTTGAACTCAGGTCCTCCTGACTCCAGGGCCGGTGCACCACCTAGCTGCCTCCCGATTCACCCAATTCTCACCTGTGGCTCTAAGAAGCTGTAGCAGGTTCGGTGGCCACACCCCAGTAAACCAACTTGGCAGACAGGCTAAACCAGGTTGAGGATAACTGACAAACCTCAAACCTGTTAGTGAGTTAGTGGATGTCTATCTCGAGAACGTGAGAATTTTTCCCTGATGGAATGAGTGGATAAAACAAATTTGTTCCAATACCTGTGAAGGTGGCTGAAACAGGCATTGTAGAGTGCTTAGAGCCTGGTCAGGCATCAAAGATGCCAAGATCATCCACTGCATCCTGGGCCATCCATAGTTGTCTTGACTTTTGTCCTGCCACTGACTTTGATGACTCAGGAAGAGAGAGTGAAGTTGACAATTTTGTGCAAATCTGTGTCACTTAAATCCAATTCATTTGCAAGTCAAAATATCACTCCATAATATCACTGGTCCTCTTTGAAAATAAAGGACAAACACCACCACCATCACCACCTTTTTCAGTCCTCCCTGAATCTGTGACTCAGAACTGGGTAGTGGGCAGCAAAGCTGCCAACTGTCACCCGTCTTCCTCATAGAGCACCAGTATGGGTCCCGTGGGGCGCTGGCACAAGTCTGCAATCTCCCTCTGTCCTCGTGCACAGTCTCTCTCTGGGTCCTGGAGTGCTCTGCTTTCAGGGTGCTTCTGGCAGACTCAATCCTCAGTGTATGCAGATTCTTGTCTGTCTCCCTATGCTAGCTCAACTGGACAAAAAGACTCATTGTGACTTTTTCTAGATTTCCCTCTAAGGATTCAGTTTGGTGCATTTTCTCAATCTGTTTGGAGAAGTTTGTGAAGTAGAACTCACTGTGCTGCTTGTACCACTTTGACATTGTGGCTCTGCCTCCTCAAGCAAAATTTTTATTAAAAAGTATTCTTTTTGCTACTGTTGAAATAATTATTACAAGTTCCAATTATAGGATACTATTACTCCTTTGTTTCATAAGGCACACACACACACACATATTTAAATTTAGTACCCTATTTAACTTCTGAAAGGAATTCAGTGGTGTTATTTTTTAGACAGATAGAAATCTCCCCCCTCCCCACCCCAGCTTTTACTAGGATCTAATTAAAGAGTATTACAATGTTAAAATGCAATGTGGTATTTAAAGTAGAGAAAGACCATTTTATGGGAAAAAAAATCCTTTTTGGCAGAAAACTGTACTGAGAGTAGTGAAATGAACTCGGCAGAGGAAGAATATGACATAGAAAAGCTTCTAAGATATTTTAAAATTAAAGCAGTTTTAAACAGACACATCATTTTATATCCATAAATGTACACTGCCCTTTCTCCATACCTATTTACTCATTCCTGAGGATTTTCTCAGTTTTAAACTACCTTGCAATAAAATACATTGCTTAGCAATTTTACATCCTGCCAAGTAGAATAGGGTATTTAAGAGCTCTGCTTCTATAATCAAACAAAGCAGTCACTGCAAAGTAAGATTTAGTTACTCTTTAACAACATGTGGAACATACTGTACTGCCTTCCTCTCAATATGGTATTGTTTTTGGCTCATATACAAAAATAAGCCCATGTATTGATCTGAACACATATATTGATGGGGTCTGATTAAGTAATAAGAATCATTTAATAAAATTCAAAGTCAATATACTTCCAAGTGGTTTACAGTAATTCACATGTCAAGGTATCTTAACATAGAGTTAAGCAGAAATTTAAAAAGGAATAAATTTTAGTAAAGAACTTATGAGCCATTTAGGCTTAAAGAATCTAACTGAGCAGAAAAAGGCTTACAACTATTTATTCTGTTTGCTATGTTCAGAACTAATAATGTTAATTAATTTTCCAAACTTGGATAGAGCTTATTATCTAGAAAAAGATACCTCAATCTGAAAATGAGCAGGTTTCTGTTCATGGGCATGTAAAATAGACAACAGCTTGTGTGTACTAATTATCTTTT